CAACCTCCGCCTCCTGGGTTCAAGCAATTCTCCTGCTTCAGCCTCCCGAGTAGCTGGGACTAAGGCATGTGTCACTACACCTGGCTAATTTTGTATTTTCAGTAGAGGCAGGGTTTCTCCGTGTTGGTCAGGCTGGTCTTGAACTCCTGACCTCAGGTGATCTGCCTGCCTTGGCCTCCCAAAGTGCTGGGATTATAGGTGTGAACCACCGCATCAGGCCTACCAGCTAATTTTTTAAAAAATTTTTTGTAAAGTTGGATTCTGGCTGTGTTGCCCAGGCTGGTCTCGAACTTCTGGCCTCAAGTGATCCTCTCACTTCAGCCTCTCAAGTTGTTGGGATTATAGGCATGAGCCACTGCATTTAGCACCTTCCAGTCTTTCTCTTTAAACCACAGTATGACTTCAAACTACTTCTGTTTTATTTTTCTCATTAAACTTTAATTGTTCAGTGTACCTTACTGCTAATGTGAGCTTAGACATAAACAGAAATGCAGAAATGGAAGCATGTAACAATATTCATCTTAAAAGCTGATAATCCAGTTGACCTAAGACCTTAACCTAAGGTCATAAAATCAATTGGTAGGTTGTGACTAACATTTTTTTAAAATACTGTAGAAGTTACCAAAGTATATCACATGTAGTAAGGGTATTTCATGAAATTCCTTTTTTTCACTTTTATCTGTTTATACATAATCTCTCTGTCTGTATATGTCTTCTAATCCTCTCTCCAATCCCTATCATGTTTGTGATTGTCCAAGAAGAGAATTAAACTCCTAATTTAATATATTAATATAGTTAATCAATGTTATTCATAGGTTATTTTATATGTACATTCTTATTACCTAAAACTGATCAGATACTGCCCAGAAATATATTTTTCAATAGTACCATTGAAAAGTAGTTAGTATTTAGACTGTATATTTAAAATCCTAAAGCTGACATGATTCACAGAGCAGATATTGCCCACATAGAAAATCTAGGAGAATTGACACATTATCGGAAGTAATAAGAATTCAGCAAGGCTATTAAATACAAGGTCAGTTTATAAAAATGAATAGTGTCTCAATACAGCAGCAACAAATAGAAAATGAAAAAAAATTTTTTAAGATACTATTTAAAATTGCAACCACAATAATATTATCTAGGACTCTGTTTATCAAAAAGAAAATAAGATCTTAAGAAAATTTGGAAACTTTACTGAAAGATATTAAAGAACTGAATAAATACTGGAAAGATGCAACACATTCATGAATGGAAAGATTCAGCATAAAGATGTCAGGTCTCCTTAATATAAATCCAATGCAATTCTTTTCTTTTTTTAAATTAAAAAACAATTTTGTGAGTACATAGTAGGGTACATGAGATGTTTTTCAATGCAATTTTAATCAAAAGGGCAATGAGGTTTTTCACAGAAACTGTCAAGCTGCTTTTAGAAAGATAGATCAAAGGGTCAATAATAAGTAAGACAGCACTGAACAAGGTAGAGATATCTGACCTACCAAACTCAAAACATAGTTTTTTGGAGATGGAGTGTCACTCTGTTGCCCAGGTTGGAGTGCAGTAGTGCATTCTTGGCCCACTGCAACCTCCACCTCCTGTGTTCAAGCAATTCTTCTGCCTCAGCCTCCTGCGTAGCTGGGACTACAGGCATGTGCCACCATGCCCAACTAATTTTTGCTTTTTTCTTTAGTGGAGATGGAGTTTCACCATCTCTAATGGTCTCAAACTCTTGACCTCAAATGATCCACCACCCTTAGCCTCCCAAAGTGCTAGGATTACAGGCATGAGCCACCATGCCCAGCCAAAACTCAAAACCTATAAAGCAATGGTAAGGTAGTATGGAATTGGCATATAGAGTGGCAAATGGAACAATGGAACAGAAGATAGATGGAGAAAACAAATTTGTGCATACATAGGAAGTTCGTATGTCAGAGATGGCATTAGACATTCTGGGAGGGAGGGATTATTCAATTGATGATGCAGGGACAACAGCTTTCCATACTATAAAATTAAAATTAAACCCTACTTCAGACCTATACAGAAAATTTCCATTGGAAACATATGTATGTATTCATGACTTCAGGAACTGAAAAGATATCCCTAAACATGACACATACAAAGAGCACAAATCAAAGGAAACAGTTAGTAAATGATGTAGCTTTTTTGCAGGTTGCTTTAGGTATTGCATTTTATGTATACATAACTTATCACAGTATTTGTGTCATTGTTTCACCATTTTGAGTGAAATATAAAAACCCTACCTCTGTCTATGCTTCTTTATCCTCCCCCATTCATAATAATTGTTATAAATATTAAAATTACTTAAATATTTAGTGTTGTAATTTTTGCTTCAACCATCAAACATAATTTAGGAACCTCAGGAGGAGTTTCTCCTTGTTGCTTACCTTGTTCTTTCTTCTTCCTGATGTTCTAAGGTTTCTTCTTTTTATTTTTTCCTTTTTATTTAGAGAACTTCCTTTAGCCATTCTTTTAGAGTAGCTCTGCTTGTGACAGAGGTAGTTCTTCATCATCTGAGAATGCCTTGATTCGCCTTTCATTTTTGGAAGATATTTGTCACCAGGCATGAGATTCTGGGTTGACAATTCTTTTTTCAGCACTTGAAAAATATTTTGCCACTTCTTCTAGCCTTCGTGGATTCAGATGAGAAATCTACTCATTATTCAAATTGTTTTACCCTGTAGCTAAGGTATGATTTCTTTCTTGCTGCTGTCAAGATTTTTTTTTCTTTAGATTTTAGAAGTCTAATTATGATGTGTCTTGGAACATGTATCTTTGGCTTGGTTCACTCAACTCTTGAATCTGAAAGCTTATGTCTCTTGCCAGATTTGTGAATATTTCATCTATTATTTCTTTAATTTTTTTTTTTCCTTTTTTTCTTTTCTCCTCTTGGGATTTTGATCACAAGAATGTTAGATCTTTTGTTACAGTCTCACAGGTCCCTGGGGCTCCATTCGTTTTATTTTTATTCCAGTCTGTATCCTCTCAGTTTTTCAGATTTGGTGATTTCTATTGTTCTGTTTTTCATTTCACTGATTCTTTCATCTGTTCCTTCCATTGTGCTGTTGAGTGCATCCACTGTTAACTGTATTTTTCACTTCTAAATTTTTGTTCGTTTTTTTCTTTTTTTTTGAGATGGAGTTTTGCTCTTGCACCCAGGCTGAAGTGCAGTGGAATCATCTTGGCTCACTGCAACCTCTGGCCCCTGGGTTCAAGCAATTCTCTTGCCTCAGCCTCCCGAGTAGCTAGGATTATGGGTGCCCACCACCACACCTGGCTAATACTTGTATTTTTAGTAGAGATGGAGTTTTGCCATGTTGGCCAGGCTGGTCTCAAACTCCTGACCTCAGGTGATCCACCTGCCTCAGCCTCCCAAAGGCGTGAGCCACTGCGTCTGGCCCTTTTTTTCCTTTATGCCTTCTATTTCTTTGCAGAGAATTTTTCCTTGCTTTGACTTCTATTTTTCCATTTATTTCAAGCATGTGTGTAATTACTCTTAAAGCGTTTAGCATGGCTGCTCTGAAAGCTTTGCCAGATAATTCTGACATCTCTGTCATCTTGGTGTTAGCATCTATTGATTTTTTTTCCTTCAGTTGGAGATTTTCCTATTTCTTGGTATGATGAGTGATTTTTGGTTGGAACAAGTGCTTTTTTCGTGTTATGATATGAGAATCTGTGTCTCATTTAAGCCTTCTGTTATAGCTGGCCTTCCTTGACACTACTTCAGCAGGGTAGAGGTATGCTGCCTCCTTATTGCCAGGTGGAGGTAGAAGCCCAGGTTGCTTGGTCTGTGTTGAAACCCAAGGGAGATGGGTGCTTCTTGTTACTACTGGGTGCCTGTAGGAGTTCCAGCTTCCCATGTGGCCTCCACTGCGCCTTCTGTAATGCCATCCTGTGAGGAGGGAGAAGGGAGTCTCAGTACTGCTTAATGGATTTGGAAGTCCAGTCTCTCTGGTGTTTCCTTTGACACCGTGGGGGTTAAAGCCTCAGTACTGGCTAGCAGGAATGAACCTCTTGTTTGCTACTGTATGGCTGGCTCTGATACAGCCCTAGCTGGAGTTTGGAGTGCCTTCTTTCACTGGTGAGAATGGAAATCTGGGGTCCCGTCCTTTGCTAGCATGGTGGGACCATGCGTTTTTCTCTGGTGCTTGGCTAGAGTAGAGCAGTTATTAGCTAAAAGTTTTCTGTCTTGGTAGGCTTCCTGTTTTCTGGGGATTCATCTAGAGAGAGGAGGTTTGTTGAGGCTTTTTCATCTGTGCCCGTTGATCTTTCTGGGTTGTCAGCTTCTTCAGCTCCAAGTCTGGGTTTTATGTGACAAAAAGTAAACCTAACAAACTCACCATTATACTGTTCCTCACATCCCAAGTTCCTTAGCTGGTCGGCTTTCTGCCCACTTTTCAGAGTTGCCTTGTGTTTGTTTGACATGTAATGTGCAGGAGTGGTACTTGGCAGGAGGAGTTGGGAGCATATCTCCATTCCATCTTCCCAGAAGCAGTTCTTCTAATCAAGATCTTATTTTAGAGATTGCTCTATGTATAAATGAACGTTGCCTCCTTAGTATTAATTTGATCTAATTAAAACAAAATTAGAACTTTGATTATATTGATAATGCCAATGTACAAATTTCAACTGCAGTAGAATTGAATTTTGCATGTGGGTGAATCTGATAAAGAGAAAAAGAAAATTCTCTTCATATTTTTTATAATTTAAAAACTGCTTTTAATATTTTGAATGCTGCTTACAGTTTAAGCATGTTACTATATTTTTCAAAAGCACAACCAGTGAGGAAAATTCTGTCCCTTTTCTTGGCAAATTAACAACCTAAGCATACAGAAGTTTATATACAGAGAGATCCAAGATGGCCGATCACTAGCAGCTCGGGATTGTAGCTCCCAGTGAAAGCGCAGAAAACGAGAGGACACCACACTTTCAGACGAATTTTTGTTGCTCACGGACCAGGAGTTTCCCAGCGGAGGAGCCCTATGGGTCGTCAGCGCGACTCTTGTGGCCGGTGTGGCGGTTTTGCCAGTGCCTCGGCACGACGGTTCTTGGTGCAGAGTCAGAAAAGCACCATCAATCTTAATGCTGCTGTTTTAGCCGGTGCAGTGGGTTGCTCAGATTCCGGCGCTGGGAATCACCAAGTTGGACGTCCACTCAGAAACTCAATTAGAAAGTCGGTAATTACAAAGATGACAGATGGATAAATTTATAATGAAAGGAAGAAACCAGCATAAAAAGGCTGAGAATACCCAAAATCAGAACGCCTCTCCCTCTACAGGGGATCACAGTTCCTCATCAGCAATGGAAGAAGGCCCGAGAGAGAGCAAGTATATTCCATTAACAGAAGTAGGCTTCAAAAGGTGGATGATAAGAAACTTCTGTGAGTTAAAAGAATTTGTTCTAACCCAATGCAAAGAAATTAAGAACTTTGAAAAAAGGTTTGACAATGCTAACGAGAATAGACAATTTAGAGAGGAATATAAGTGAATTAATGGAGCTGGAAAACACAACACGAGAACTTCGCGAATTATGCACAAGTTTTAACAGCCGAATTGATCAAGCAGTAGAAAGGATATCAGAAGTCGAAGACCAACTTAATGAAATAAAACGAGAAGACAAGATTAGAGAAAAAAGGATAAAAAGGAATGAGCAGTCTCCAAGAAATACGGGACTATGTGAAAAGACCTAATCTATGTTTGATAGGTGTACCTGAATGTGACAAAGAGAATGAATCCAAGCTGGAAAATATGCTTCAGGATATTATTCAGGAAAACTTTCCCAACCTAGCAAGGCAGGATAATATTCAACTCCAGGTAATACAGAGAACACCATAAAGATATTCCTCAAGAAGACCAACCTCAAGGCACATAATCATCAGATTCACCAGGGTTGAAATGAAGGAGAAAATACTAAGGGCAGCCAGAGAGAAAGGTCAGATTACCCACAAAGGGAAGCCTGTCAGACTCACAGCAGATCTCTCAGCAGAAACCCTACAAGCCAGAAGAGAGTGGGGGCCAATATTCAACATCCTTAGAGAAAAGAACTTTCAACCCAGAATTTCACATCCGGCCAAACTCAGCTTCATAAGTGAAGGAAAAATAAAATCTTTTGTGAACAAGAGATTTCATCACCACCAGGCCTGCTTTACAAGAGCTTCTGAAAGAACCACTACACAAAGAAAGGAACAACCAGTATCAGCCTTTCCAAAAATATACCAAAAAGTAAAGAGCATCAACATAATGAAGAATTTACATCAACTAATGGGCAAAACAGCCAGCTAACATTAAATGGCAGTATTAAACTCATATATATTATTATTAATCCTAAATTTAAATCCACTAAATCCCCCAATTAAAAGACACAGCCAAAACCCATTGGTAGGCTGCATCCAGGCCCGTCTCACATGCAAGGATACACAAAGACTCAAAGGGATGGGGAAAGATTTACCAACCAAATGGAGAGCAAAAATAAATAAATAAATAAAAAAGCAGGAGTTGCAATTCTTGCCTCTGATAAAATAGACTTTAAAGCAACAAAGATCAAAAGAGGCAAAGAAGGACATTACACAATGATAAAAGGATCAATGTAACAAGAAGAGCTAACAATCCTAATACAGGATCCAATACAGGAACACCCAGATACATAAGACTTATAAAGATACTTAGACTCCCACACAATAATAGTGGGAGACTTCAACATCAATATCAGACAGATCAGTGAGACAGAAAATTAACAAGGTTATCCAGGACTTGAACTCAGATCCGGAACTAGTAAACTTCATAAACATTTATGTAACTCTCCACTTTAAATACACAAAATATATACTCTTATCAGTACCACATCACACCTACTCACAGGTTTAAATGAAATATTGGTTGGCTGCTTGTTTGTTATTTTCTTCCCTCATTTTTTCATGTCTACATTATTAAGCACAATTATTGGCATACCCATTTTTAGACTGCATTCTAGCCTGGGCAATAAAGCAACACTCCCATTCTCTCTCCCTCTTACTCTTTCTTCCTTTCCTTCATTCTTTTTTTTTTTTTTTTATAATTCTTTTGCTTTCTTTCTCTCTTTTTCTTTCTTTTTCTTTCTTTTTTAAAAACAAAAACAAAACCCACAAAAGTTTATAGGAAAATGTTGCCAGCTCTGCATCAGAGTGCTGTCATGACAATTAGTTCATATTTCCTTATGAAGCTTAGCCTTTCTTGTTTATCACCTGCAAAAAAGCATCAAAGTTAAACATTTAAAGCAGGCGTCCCCAAACTAGGGCTTGGAGGCCGCATGCGGCCCCCTGAGGCCATTTATTGCACTTCAGGAAGGGGCACCTCTTTCATTGGTGGTCAGTGAGAGGAGCACAGTATGTGGCGGCCGTCCAGCAGTCTGAGGGACAGTGAACTGGCCCCCTGTGTAAAAAGTCTGGGGACGCCTGATTTTAAGTATTTGAGAGAACCTCAATACCAAGTGGATTCAGAGAGCCCAGAGGTCAGAAATCATGTGCAGAGCCTTATGTTGACAGAATGGCCCTGCCATAAGGAAAGGTGCCTGAGTTCTACAAGGTATTGGCTAGAGCCAAGTTACGACTAGTTTACTTACATGATAGAATTTTAAGTGGTTCACAAATAACATTTTTTACCTTCATAGTTAAATATTTACTTAAGGTATATTAAAAACATATAATTAGTGAATCAAACTTGTGATTTCATAAATTTTTATTGTAAGGAAAGATTCTTAACGTTGGTCTTTGAGTTAAACATGTGAGTTAACTTAGCAAGAACTATCAGGTCATAGTAGTGATACCCTTACAAATGTGTCAGTGTTATTGAAGGTAAAGGGGGAGTGACAGAAGTTAAAGAAACATGTTGGAGCAATTGTAAACGCAATATGATCACATTATCTGCCTCTTGTCATTTAGCTTGTCATAAGCTAAACTTAGTATAAATGGGACCATTGTTTGAATGAAAAAGAAATTCAAACTTGAGGTGTAAAGAAATGTAGATTAATTTGAAGCCCAGAAAGGACATTTAAGTTCCCACAAGATTGGTTACTCCATATTTTTTTTGTAGTAGCTCACCTTTCTAAGGTATTTTATCCTGCTGTCAAGTTTGTTAAATTAGATAGCAGGAAATTCTAATTGATTCTTCTTTTATATCTAAAAAAATCGATGTTATTTATTTATTTTTGAGACAGGGTCTTACCCTTGCTTAAGCTGGAATACGGTGGCACAGTCATGCTCACTGTAGCCTTGATCTCCCAGGCTCAAGCAATCCTCTCACCTCAGCCTCCTGAGTAGCTGGGACTACTTTTGCACACACCCAGCTAATTTATTTTGCAGAGATGAGGTCTCTCTATGTCACCTATACTGATTTCAGACTCCTGGACTCAAGCAATCCACCTGCCTTGGCCTCCCCAAAATATTGGAATTACAGGTGTGAGCCATTGTGCCTGGCCAAAATCAGCATTTTGATGGATGTTTCCAGTAGACTTTCAACTTGCTGATACATCTGAGTTGAACATTATTATACAGTCATTCATTTATTCATTCTTAAACATATTTATTGAGTGGCTGCTGTCTGCCAGCTTTGTTACTAGATGGCAAGGATACATAAATGGGTAAGATCCCTCCTTGCCAAGTTCTTATAATCTAGAGTAGAGGTAATCATGGAAATAAACAATTATAATGAAAGTGCTGGTTGAAAATATCTGAGAGTTACTGGCAGCACTTGAGCATCATGTCAGTTTGCTGAAGGGATATGTTAGAATTGAGACTGGAAGAATGACAGTCAGGTGGAGGTATGAGAGAGCGTGCTTTTCTTAAGAAGCAGAAACTAGTTTGTTTGTTTGGGTTACTCTCCCAGGGCGAGCATGGTGGCCTGAGGCAGGACAAACATGTGGTTTGGAGAGAAAGGGTGTGTAAAGTGAAAGAGGATCAAGAGTAAAACAGTGGAGGTCGGACGCAGTGGCTTATGCCTATAATCTCAGCACTTTGGGAGGCTGAGGCGGGTGGATCACAAGATCAGGAGTTTTTTAAGACCAGCCTGGCCAATATAGTGAAACCCCATCTCTACTAAATATACAAAAAATTAGCGAGACGTGGTGGGTGCCTGTTATGTCAGCTACTCCAGAGGCTGGGGCAGAGAATCTCTTGGACCCAGGAGGCAGAGGTTGCAGAGAGCCGAGATCGCGCTACTGTACTCCAGCCTGGACGACAGAGTGAGACTCCATCTCCAAAAAAAAAAGGAAAAATAAAGTGAAACAGTGAAGAGAGAAAGTGGTATTACATGGTCCTGGAGAGTTTCTTGTGACAGAGACTGAGCTGAGATGGCTGGTGATAGGAACTGTAGCCTAGTGACCCTTTGTGTACCCAGCACCTATCAGAGTAGCTCACATATACTAGGTACTTAATAAAAGCTTGATAAATGAATGATTAAATAAGTGATGTTTAGAATAAAGAGAATAATGGGTATCTCCTACTTTTTTTCTTAAGGATAAGTAATTTGGGTTTTGTAAATATAGAAGGGTTGTTGTAAGGCCAGGTGTGGTGGCTCACACCTGTAATCCCAGCACTATGGGAGGCCAAGGTGGGTCGATCACTTGAGGTCAGGAGTTTGAGAGCAGCCTAGCCAACATGGTGAAACCCTACCTCTACTAAAAATGCAAAAATTAGCCAGGCGTGGTGTCAGTACCTGTAATCCCAGCTACTCAGGAGGCTGAGGCAGGAGAATTGCTTGAACCTGGGAGGTGGAGGTTGCAGTGATTCAAGATCACACCACTGCACTCCAGCCTGGGTTGAATGTAGCTGGAAATCTATACATTAACATATATGATGATCAGTGTCTATTTACATGATACAGATATAGCCAATTCATTTACTTCTCTTGGAAAGATATTACTGTCTTACCATTTTTTCCTCATTGTTTTTATTTCTTTAAAAAAAATTTTAAATATCATTTTAAATTAGTTGAAGCATCCTGACATTTCCATAGATATTCCTTTACAGTAAATATTAATGGGATCTACATGGCTAAGTTACTATTTTACAGATTAATTGGTGATAACTAGGCCCCAGCCTTCCTTCTGGCACTTGAAACCTTTTCTGTTGTGATGTTCACAGGAAATCTTTTTTTTCCTTTATATTATA